TTGAGACCAGAAGCGTTGAGACCAGAACCGTTAAGACCAGAACCGTTGAGACCAGAACCATTGAGGTTCTGTTCAAACCTTGAAACTTTGTGTGACCTCATGATGTCACGCTCAGAGTGCGTGTCAGGGACGAGTGTCAGCACCCGTTTGTCAGTGAGCGATTGAACCATGTTGAAGTTTCAGAGACGACGTGTTTGTTGCTCCGGCCATTGAAATGAGTTCATGAAAGGTTTTAACATCACAACTCACTTTTATCTTCTAGTTTGTTCTCAAGTGTAGAAAAGTAGAAACTGTTCTGGACGTTTGTCCAGAACTGCTCGAGTAAGAAGAGAGGACGTATCGATACCGGATCTTAGTGAACCCATCTGACAGGAACCAAACCATCACAGCGAGCTGCAGTACCACTCCCACAGAACGACGGCTCCGACAACACAAACAAACTTCTGTGGTCCGTTTTTATAAAAGGTCTGCGGAGATGAAACGTTTGTCTGTCTTTAGGAGACCCTGCTGGTCTCAGGTCCGTGTTTCTTCAGACCTGCTGGTCTCGGGTCAGTTAGCTCTCCCAGTCGGTGCAGGGAAGACCTTCATCCTCGGACTCGGACTCTGGCGACGCCTCTTTGATTCTCCTCAGAGCCTCGTGGATGCTGCGCGTCAGAGCGTCGGCCGAGTGTGGGAAACTCTTTGGGTGGCGCTGTTGCTCCGGACGTGTTCGGACCTTCTTCAGGTGGATGCCCTGTCGGATCTGAGCCAGGATGTTGGTGCTGTCGTCTTCTGGGTCGGGGCCCAGAACCCGCAGCTCAGCTTTCCTCAGGTGGAAACTACCTCGTTTCAGAGACTCCAGAACTTCGTCCATGGGCGAGCTCACTGAGAAAAACCCAGAACAGAAAGTTCTGTTAGACATTTATCATCACACAACCGGACCTAAAGATGTACCAGAGTCTGGTCCCAATCAATCAGAATAATCATTTCACTGGAATAAACAAAAGGCTGCATTTCTTAAATCAGCCTTCAAAGCACCGCCTGATTGAAGCAACAATATTTCACTGCAGTCCATTAAAACAATTCACAAAGAAAAAGAACGAGTACAGGCAGGTTCTCTGTAGATGATGATTGTTTGAAGGTCTGATTGTTTGAGGGTGTGATTGTTTGAGGGTCTGGTTGTTTGAGGGTCTGGTTGTTTGAGGGTCTGGTTGTTTGAGGGTCTGGTTGTTTGAGGGTGTGGTTGTTTGAGGGTCTGGTTGTTTGAGGGTCTGGTTGTTTGAAGGTCTGATTGTTTGAGGGTCTGATTGTTTGAGG